GTGGTTGAGAGAAAGCTGTTTTCAATGGAAACAGGAAGCAAGGCGCTAACCTGTTTCTATGGTAACTAGAGCAGTAGCTACCAACAGCTGTAGGGGGGAAAGGGCAGAAAGTTATAAATGCAAAAAACAAACAAACAAAACTAATGCTGCTTTGCTTTATCAGTGTGATGCTCCTTATAGTACAATCAAAATCGGTGCAGACATGTTGTCCCTGCACCACTAACCCCAGAGATCTTTTTCCTCCAAACCTCACAGTGTTGGACCTGGAAAGAAGTTAGCTACTTATCTAGCCCAAAGCATGATGCCCACTCCCCGAATAAGGCAAATAAAGACACAGAAAAATGAAGTGAATTCTCCAAAGTCACACATCTAATGGTAAAATCATGGTTAATTCATAAGTCTCAGAAACCCCAGTCCAGGCAATTTTTCCAATGCTGTTTCCATATATTCTCCACTCTTCTCTCCCAAATACTCCCATTTTAGTATCTTTCTGTAAAAATATTCACTACAGAATATTACAATTAATTACCATCTTTCGACCGGTAAGAGAAGGAAAAGCAATGCTATTCTGTCATTAAAGAAAAAAAAAAAAAAATCTCAGCCCTGGCCAGTAACTCAGCTGGTTCCTGATACACCAAGGCTGTGGGTTTGATCGCTGGTCAGGGCACATACAAAAATACAAGAAACAACCAATGAATGCATAAAGAAACAATAACTTAATGATCTCTCTCCCTTCCTCTCTCCTTCAAATCAATCAATATTTTTTTTAAATCTTGACTAATCTGCTAAAAGAAAAGGCCTTTATACTTCAAGCAGAAGTCTATTGTTTATATAACGCATTGATGGTTATCATTTAGACCATGCTGCCACTATGTATTTCCCTCTAGAGATCTGTGCTTGCCTTTTACCAGTCCGTTAGTGCCCTTTACTATTTTTACTTAGACATATTTTTAAAGGTTGCCATAATAAAATAAGGATATATGACTCAGAAGTTCAAAAATATGAGATCTAAAAACTGCATTTACTTTATTTGGAGTCATAAATAGTTATGATATACATTTTTCAATTGGGAAAGGTTGGTCTGAGTTTTTTATATAAACCCACACATTTCTTTGTTTTCATTTACTTTGAAAACTGTGTTTCTTGACAAGAAAAAAAATTTCCTTGTCTCTTTTTTTAAAAATCTTCATTGTTGAAAGTATTAGCATGTCCCCCTTTTTCCCACTGACCCCTTTCAGCCTGCACCACCCCCTCCCCTGCCCCAGGCTTTCCCCACACTATTGTCTGTGTCTATGGTTTTTATGGTTTTTGCATACATGCATATAAGTTCTTTGATTAATCTCTTATTTAGTTTTGTTAATTCGAATTTGCAAATGAACTCTTAGAAAAATATTACACACACACACACACACAAAAAAAAAATTTTTAAAAATGGATACTTAATCTGTCCAACTACTAATACATTCTTTTTCAGCATGCCTGAAGCCCAACCTAATGCATAGATCATCTAGTTTGTGACCACATTTACTACTGAAAATACAATTGACTAATGAAATTACTAAGTTCTTTTAATGATGTATTGAATTAGGTACTCTCTGGTCCTATCCAATGCTCAGAATATAAACATATATTCTGAGCATTGGATAAGCATATATTCTGAGACTATAAGCTTGTGAACTTTAAAATAGTGGCCTGGAAAAGGTCAAAAGACACTTAGAGGCTGAGAAGGCAAATGCAATCACACCAGACTGTTAGAGCAGATTCTTTTCAGTGCTCTGAAGGTTGGATTTGCATTGTTATATGGTTGGCCATGACTTTTAATTAATATGAAAGGGATGAAGATACTTGACCATACCTCCAAAAATCCAGTTGTTTAGTATAAGTATAGCCTGCATCATCTTCTCCAATAATATTACAAATAGACAGTCTGTAAGTCACTTTGAAGGCACAGCAATGAAGATTAAAACAGCCTAACATTTTCATAATAAAATAAAAACAATGTGCTAAGACAATCATTTCTAAATAAAATATTTTCAGACATATGTCAAGCAAAATTCCCATTGAGCTATTTTGGAGAAAAAAAAACAAAAAAACTTTTTAATATCTTTAGAATTTTATTTGTTGTTATTTTGTTGTATTTTTTTAAAATTTAATAGATATTATCTTTTGGAAATATTAAATTATAAAGATAATGCCAAGCCTATTGAGGGCAAAGGATTGTACGTTGCACAGTTTCTGGCCTACAGTGACTGTATTATCAACATGCATTGAATAAATAAATGTTCTAAAAATTTTAATTACTGACTATAATATTTTATGAACAAGATATATTTGGCTACTAAATCTTTTAACTGGATTTAGTAGTTATGTTTACAGAATAAGAATATACTGTATTTTCCTTCTTTAACCTATTTTTGACTAAAATTGTCCCTACCTTATTATAATTTTTAATTAAATATTACATTTAAAATTTGCAAACACTTCCAGTAGTTAGGTCATTTCCCTCTTGTTTTTGTTTGTTTCTTTTATTCTTTGTAGTTTGAGGAGAGGGGAAAAAATGATCCATAAAAATAAACAGGTGAAATTCTAAATCCAATTCCAGATCTAGAAATTTTAATTTTAGTAGTTTTAAGAACTAAAATTATAGAAATAAAACATTTGAAATGCTAATAAAGTGAATATTCTCATAATTAAAAATAATGAATTCACTATCATAATCCCCCATATTTTTTTTTCTCAAATGTTGGGTGGTGCAGGGCAAAATTTCTACCAGCCAAAGGATGGGAATACATATATTTAAAAAGTCACAGATGACCTTTCAGAGTTAGAATGCTAGTGAATATCTTATGCTGCATTAACTCTCAAGAGCAACACAGGCTGCAGAGATTTCACAAACCAGTCAGTTACCATCAGTGGCTGTGGTGGAAGGGCCTGGAGAGGATGTCATGAGACCTCCAGATAATTTTGGTTCTGCCTTTGTTAACTTGCTGTCTGACCTTGGCCACCACTTAGCATCTGCAGTCTCCATATTCCTCCTCTACATCTGAAGGGTCTTCACAAGGTGATCTCAAAGAAATGTTCCATGTCTACAATTCTTAGCTAATTCTGCTTCTAAAGGCTCTTTGACCTTGTGTTAATTGCTAATCTGTGTTTTTCCTCACCTGAAATGGATGCAAGCCAAATTCTTATTATTATAATGAAATTTTAGATTTTTAAAAAACTATTTTCAAGTTAAGGGTCTAGCCTTTGACCAATAATCAATTGAATCAATTTCCATAGCAATAATAACAATTGAACACATTCTTATTTAAGTTTTTGCTATGCAATTTGCCCTTCAATAAAAGGTATTAAATGTATTATATGCTCATGTGAGAAAGATAATAAATATTCTGTCTTTTTTATAGCACATGATCTGGGGAGGGGGGGAGTGAAATCACATGATGAGTCTAAAAACAAATTCAGATGATCTTTTTAGCCACCAAGTGGAGAGAGCTGAGTAGGTAGGTAGGGGAGGGGGAGAGGGGGAGACACAGATGTTATGGTCATAAGTCTATGATTTAATTTAAATAAATATGTAGTTGTTTCTTCTGAATGCCAACTTTTGTTGAATTTATAGAATGATCTTGGAAGATTTCAGAGTTGAAGTTTTGAATTCAATATTCAAATATGAAAATGTGGGCCTACTAGAATTTATGCATGCTTTTAAATTCCAGATCCAACAGAGTAGCAGAATTTTACATACTTTTATATACTTTTTCACACTGAAAACAAAACATATCTTCAGACTTCTAACATGGTATCAGAAGCACATCTGACAAGTTGGTAGAGAGACAGCTGCACAACATCTTGGAGACAAAGACTTCTAACATGCAAAGACAATAAATAATAAGAACAGAGCCAAAGCGAAGCTGGGAGGATTTCCATTATGCCCAGGGGGCTGTCTTTTCTGGGTGTCAGAAGCAAAGCAGACACTTGCAGTTGCAAAGATTTAACAAAATACAGTATTCTGTCCTCACATATAATTAAAAACCACTCACATACTATGTAATTTCTGGTTATTTATATTTCTTTTGTTTCCTTTAAACTGGAGAAACCATCACTGGTTACTTTTATAGGCCCTTCATGGGATTTTGAAGAATTAATTGGGAATGTCAAGAACCAACCTCAAGCTGTCACTCAAGCTAGACACTTGAAAAGAAAAATTAAGAGTGAGATCGCAATCTAAAGAGTAAAATAAAAGTTAGCTACAATCTAAATGACCCAGATTTAGAAAATCGGATGAAATTTAGATCCCCGGAGTGACTAATTCAAGTTCCACCTGTAAAATAAACATAGGTACAGCCCAGAGGGAAAGACACCTGCCTCCAAAACTCAGTGCCAGGTGGGCTCTCCGGTCCCCTCACTGGGACCAGCACACCCAGCCTCCTTCCCCCTTGGAAAGCCGTGGCCCCCAACCAGCAGGAGGAGGGAGACCCCACAAAGTGAACCCCGAGTACTCTCTCCCCCACACCAGCCACTCTATCCTCAGATCTGACCCCAACTGCAGCCTCTACTCCCATGAGTTCCTCCGCTCTTCAGTGGTGTCGGGCCTCACTGAAAGTGTCAAATCCTGGGGACCAGGAGGCCCAAAGAGACATCGGAACTAAAGGAAAAGTTGGAGCAAAAGGGTCAAGAAAACACAAACAACAAAACAAACTCCAGATGAAGTCTGATACCGGTGTTTCCAGACTAGGTTCCAGACAGACGTGCACAGAGGACTGGACATATGCCCTTCCGGTCCCAGCTGCCAAAGCAAATCTCAGTTTGGGTTGAGAAGGAGAAGGAGATGAAGGGGAACTGAGGGGGTGAGGGGGTGGCGCTGAGCTCCCCTTTCTGCAGAGGGGCCTCTACTTCTCCCCTCCCCCACGCCTCTCCAGGGCCCTGGGTGTAAATGAACCCCAAGTTGGGGAAGGAGCTGGAGGAGCTGGAGGAGCAGGGAAGGGGCGGTTCTAAGGCCTTACCCTGGCGGCTCTGGAGGAGTAGGGGTCCTCGAAGAGCGCCCACATGCGGGGCTGCAGCCTCCTCCAGCGGCCGGACTTGCCTTCGGGGCCGCCCAGGCCCGCGGCCTCCTCAATGCCCAGCCGCTTGGCCGCCAGCTCCTCCTCGTCGGCCGGGTCGCCGCCCATGAGGTCGGGGGCCTCGAAGATGTCCAGCGCCTCCTCGGCGTCGCGGTGCTGCCGGTAGGTCATCCAGCAGCAGGGCTCCACGTCCGTCTCGTCGATGCCCCAGAAGGCCAGCTCCTCCTCGAACAGCGGCCCGCACACGTCGGCGGGGCAGTGCAGCTTGCCGGTGCGGTAGTAGTTGAGCACGTAGGCGAAGACGCCGGGGTGCCGGTCGAAGAAGAACTCGCAGCCGCCCCCGGGGTGCTCGCCCCCGGGGTGGTCCCCGCCTTTGCCGCCGCGGGAGCTGCAGCGGCCGGCGCCGCCCTCGGAGCAGCCGCGGGGCCCCGGGGACGGCGGGGGCCGGGGCAGCGGCGGCGGGGAGCGCGGCGGGGGCGCGGGCTGCAGCGGGTCGCCCGCCGCCGTCGAGCAGTCGCCCTGGGGCTCGGAGGCGGCGAGCAGGGCCAGGCGGGTGCCAGGCAGGGTCTTCAGGGTGCTGCGGTAGGTCTCGTGCCGGGTGCCCCCGACATTGAGGATCACCCTCTCGTTACTCTCGATCTTGCCCATCTCTGTGGCTCAGACATGACTGGAAGGGGAGGGAGGGGGGGGGGGGGTGTGAACACAGCCAAGTTAGGGACCCGGGCCTGCACAGCTGCACCGCGGCCGCCACCCCCAGCCCCACTCCCAGCCCCAGGGCGCCACGATGCAGGGCAGGCAGATGGGCAGCGGGCAGACGACCCTCCCTTGGAAGATGGGGGTGGGGATAGGAGGTGGGGGGTCAGCGCCCCGTCTGTCCCTTCTCAAGCCTCACTCACACCCTCCCTGGGATTCCAGAGAAGGGAACAGTCGGAGTCTCCCTTGACCTTCCAGGATACCCTTGCCCCTGCTTCACACCTTCCTCCCTCTGCTCCTTCACCTTCCACCGTTCACCCTGCCTCCCCTGGGTCCTCTCTCTCGGGTGACCTGCTCCCGGGCCCTGTTCTCCTCGCCCCAGCCCTGAGCTCTGCCTCCCCCTCCTCCTCCCCTCCTGCCCTTCTCTCCTCTCCCCGGCACCCCAGCCCGGGTCCCTCGGTTTGACTCTCCTAACCTCTCCCCCTCCCCTAACCTGGAAACAATTCCCTTGGGTGGGGAGTTCTCTCTGCTGATGCAACTTGGCAGGGTTGGCTGGGAGCCCCCCACTCCGCCGAGCCCCTCCCGCCCTTTCTCCCCCCTTGCTACCCCCCCCTCCCCGCCCCGGCCGGCAGGCGCACCCTCGGGCCCCGGTGGCTGGCGCGCGGCTCCGGGCGCTCAGGGCGTGCCCTCTGGGCGACCTGTTCCAGCTTCACCTCCACTTTCCCTCGCGGACCAGGCACAAAAGCCTGAACGCACAAGTCAGAGCACAAAATAAAAACCAAAATAAATTCCCCCCCACCCCCCCGCCCCTGATGCTGCCGTCTTTCCCCAAGGAGACCTCTGACCAATTCCCCCATCCAATGTCCTAGTCACCTTATTGTTGTTCCTAACATTCCGGCTCCGGGGGAAGGAAAGGACTCATTAGGATCCATTCCTGAGACCAGTGATCAGTGCATCCCACCCCATCCCCCTTTCCCAAGGAAAACCAGCGCCTCGGGGATGGGGATGGAGGGCTGCTTTCGAGGAGGGGCGAGGCGGAGGGCAGCGCCGCCGGAGGCACACCCCCCTGGGGCCGCCGCGTCCCCGCTCCCCGCCGGCCAGCGCCTCTCCCCCGGGCTGCGCCTCCACAGCCCTGTCCCTGCGGGGCGCAGCCTGCCCTTCCCGGAAGATCGCCCCTGTCCCCCCAGCCCGGCCCCAGGTACCTTAAGGAGACCGAGATAGAAGTGGCTCTGCTCCGATGCCCGCGCGGACGAGCCTCTCCGGGCGGCCGGGCTCAGTCCCGCCGCCCAGCCGCGCCACCCGTCTCCCACCAGAAACTACTTGTTGGCGTTTTCCGGGCTCAGGCCGCGGGGAGACAGCTCCGAGCGGCCCCCCGCCGCGCTCCTCGCTTTCAGGATGCGAGCGGCGGGCTCGCCCCGCGCCGGCCCCAGCGCCCGGAGCCGGCATCGCGCGCGGCCGGGCGCACCATGGAGCTCGGGGCGGGTCCCCCCGGCGCCCCGCGCCCTCGCCGCGCGCGGGCAGGTCGGCCGGCCGGGGCTGCCGGAGGAGCTGGCCTGGCAGGTCAGGCTCACCCCCCGGGAGGTGAAGTCAGCCTGAACCTGCAGATGTTGGCTCTTCCCTGCAATCAGCTGCTGCTGAAACTGCCCCTTCCAAACCCACCGCTAGCCGGCTACCGCTGCCGCCAAGCACAGCGCTGGGGAAGGGTGGGTGGGAGGTGGGTGGGTCTGGGGAAGCTATGTTGTACCAACCAGGCTCATCTATTTTTCTCTGATGAAGCTCTATCCCCACCCACCCTCTCTGGAGCTTCTGCCTACCTTACTGACACCCCGCTCTCCACACCCCTTCTCTTCCCACCGTCCCACCCCTCCCTCAGGTGAGAGAAAATCTAAAACCAATTGCTTTTTTTGTTTTTTGTTTTTTTGTTTTTCTTAATGACTGTTGATGGGAGAGAGAGCTCTACTTACAGGTGACAAGTGAGTCTGGTCTGGTTTCTAGTGTCTTATTCATAGCTCTAGCTTGCTTTTTTTTTTTTCCCCCTGTCAAATGTAGGTCTCCAGGCACCACATCATGATTATATAAAACAAAACAAGTTTTTAAAAAGTTTATTCCAGAAACACGCTCTGGCAAGTAAAAATATGGGTTTCTTTATTAGAAGCGGAAAAGACAAGCGACAGATATCCAAGTACCAAAGCAATGATCTAATTAGCCAATTTCTCCCCTTCTTAAATTAGTATTGCATTGGTTTGCTAGGGTTGCCATAACAAAGTATCACCCACTGCTATGAAATACATTACCCCACTGTTCTGGAGGCCAACAGGTGTTGTCAGGTTTGGATTTTCTGAGGGCTCTGAGAAACGACTCTATTGCAGTACTCTCTCCTTGGCTTGCAGATGATCATCTCCTCCCTGTGTCTCTTCACATCATTTTCTCCTTATGCAGGCTGGCTCTGTGTCCTCATTCCCCCTTATATGAAAGCACTAGACCTAGTGATTAGAACCCACCTTAATGACTTCATTTTAACCTGAACCATCTCTATAAAGAACCTTTCTCCAAATAAGGTCATGTTCTGAAGTGCTGGAGATTAGGACTTCCGAATCTCTCTTTGGAGGAGGGTATAGGGAGGCCGGGAGACAATTAAACCCTGGTCAGATCTCACCACCACCAAAATATAAGTGTTTCTGTGACTGTGTGTATATCTCTAGGAAGTGATGGAGTGGGGGCGGGGAGGAAAAAGTGAGCACCTATTCTACAGCATGCTTTGATAGGATTGAAGTCCACAGAGTAGGTAAAACACCAGGTTGTAAGTAAAAGAAAGCCTGTTTAAAAAAGTTATTGATATTAACAATATGATCTGAAAAGAGCAAGAGTTATGAGTTACTGGTAAAGTTTTAGCATTATAGGGAACTGCAAGGTGTGCAGTAAAAGATAAACAATTTACTAAAAATGTACCTGTCTGTTATGACAGTAAATAATTAAACAAAGTGAAGAACTAAAGGTTTTTAAAAGCTCATGATATGTAGGAAACTAATGTAAGAAAATATGGTATGTATACCCTGACCGGTTTGGCTCAGGGGATAGAGGGTGGGCCTGCGGACTCAAGGGTCCCAGGTTCAATTCTGGTCAAGGGCATGTACTTTGGTTGTGGGCACATCCCCAATGGAGAGACTGCAGGAGGCAGCTGATCGATGTTTCTCTCTCATCAATGTTTCTAACTCTATCCCTCTCCCTTCCTCTCTGTAAAAAAACAAACAAAACAAAACAAAAAAATAAATAAAATATGTTTTTGAAAAAAAAAAAAAAAGAAAGAAAATATGGTATGTATACCTTTATAAAAATATACTAACAATATGACAATAAATGTGCAGTAATAAACAGTAGGGAGTGGTTATAAGGTTAAGCTTCAGACTGACCTGCTGGCAAAATTACAAACAAGTCCCAGCTTGGAGGGCACAGTCCTCTAAGCATAATTAAGCTTGATCTTGTGACTGCTCCTTAGATCTTTCCTGGGTAGCTAATGGGCTATGGGAGGTGCAACAAGAGCTGCCAAAACAAGTAAAACTTACAAGAACATTGTAAATTACCTTTGTTTACCTCTGAATAAAAAATAAACCATCAGCTTGCAGTCTGGATCTATTCTGTGGCCTCAGCCAGGCACAGAAGATCCACCTAGATCCAGCTTACACTCTTTGTCTTTTCTTCATCCTTCACCAGCCCTCCCTCAGGCTCGGCAAACCCTTGGCTGTGCTGGTGCAGTGCAATAAACTAAGGAGCAGCTTAGTGAAAATATAAATTTCCTTTACTAACATACAAAAATATGTAAAAGTTAAATACTGAGCGAGTTATTCTAGTTTTTTACTATCATCAATCACTGAGGAATTTCTAAAAGTAACAGTAATAGTTCATTTCAATTGTCTGAAATTTTACAAAGAAAAATTATATTCAAATTCTAACATGCATCTTCATATTGTCTATATGGTTCCTTATATAGCTTAATATTATAAATTCAGTAGGGATAAAGTCATATGGTTTGCTTTAAAATAAACTACCAAAAGTAAATATAGTAGCAGAAGCATTTATAATAGTAGATAACATTTACTGAGCTCTTACTCTGTGCAAAATGCTTTACATAATTTACTCCTTTTTAATTTAAATGGAGGATATATTCACATCCTGTCTAATAAGGAGGGAATATGCTAATTGACCCTCTCACCATCACAAAGATGACACTCCCACAGCCAATAAGGAGGGAATATGCTAATTGACTGCCATGTCCTAAAAGATGGCGGCATCCACAGCCACAAGATGGTGGTGCCCAGTCCCCTCAGTCCCACCAGGATGACAGCCATGCACCTGATTTTGGAGTCCCCAGTCCCCTCAGCCCCCCAGCCACCCAGGGCCGGCCCGAGGCTTAGGCAAGCCTCGGATGATGGCTGCCCAGCTGCCCAGGACTGTCTGAGGCTCAGATAGCTAGGGCCAACCAAGGCTTGTGCTGTAGGCAGTTGCATCAGTAGAGTTGTAATGGGCGTCGCCTTCTCCTGATCACTAGGTTGCCTCCTGCTCCTGAGGGCTCCCAGACTGTGAGAAGGTACAGGCTGTGATAAGGGACCACCCCCTTCCAGTGCATGAATTTTCATGCACCGGGCTTCTAATTAAACTATAAGACTTCTAGAACAAAAATTATACAGTTGGCAAGAATCAATCATGAAAACATTCACTTTGATTATATTAAGTTTGTATTATAAAGGATCTATAGAGAAACCAAAAAGAATGGGAGGGGGGATACAAAGGACTCATGAGGGGCAAATGAGAAAAAGATGTAATTAATCAATCTGAATCTAAACTTATATAGCTATCTAGAAATAATCACATTAACAGAAGGGATCATCTTTTCTTGATTCATAAAGAATTAGATGTAAAATTAGAGAACATGTCAGATAATTTGAAAATAAGAATGT